GGCTAACTTAGAGAATGTTGGTAAATTCTAAGGTGTTTTCTTGGGCAAAGTCAAGTTTGAAACTATGTGTGATGAAAAGAAGTTGGGGGAAGTTCCTGACATATATCTGATATATGTATGAGTGTAGCTATCAGTTAAGCTAGGTTACAAATGATAATATTCTGATTTATATCCTTTTTTTTCCATTTAAGTTTTGGTAAAAGGAAAAGAAACACTTTCAATTGTCAAGTTGTATGCAACCAATAGCATATTTCCATTTACTTTAATTCCTGAGGAGTGATAGTCAAACCATATTATTATTTTAGTATTATAATTAATCTTACAGCCTGCAAGGTAATGAGATGCATTGTTCCAGGAAGAGAATATATTGTAAGAGAGTCAGAGTACTTAATTAACTAATAAATATTTAAAATGCATATTTAAAGAGAATTTTGTTAACTGTGTGGTCATATAAATTTTGGAATTAGTGTAAAAATAATTTAAAACTCATTTAATTAATTGACCATAATTCAGATAGCAAGAATAATGTGGTGGTCAGCAAAGCACATGGAAATTCAGGCATGAAAATAGGAAGGCACAGTTCTGACATGCTTTCAAACACAAGAAAGTGGAAGGAAATGGAATGGAGTTTAGCATCGTCATGCAGAGGATAAAAATGCCTGTGAACACATTAGCACATTTTGGAATTATAAATACAATGTATGCATAAGTAGAACAGCCCCAGACTCTCTTAAGCATTCCAACTGCTATTTTTTCCTGCTATCTTAGTGATGAAAGCAGTACTTAAAACACACCTCCCCCATCTGTAGGAATCACTGCATGGAGGCCAACAGAGCCGATGAACTTCTGTCCCTGAGGACATCCCTGGGATGAACTTGAGTGGAGGTAGCTGCTGCATTAGTTGCCCCTTACCCTCTCCCTCTTGTGTTCACAGAGGATTTAATGACCAGTGAATGCAGAATACAAAGGCCTAATTGTTCACTTACCCTATGGACTAGTTTCCACTTCAAAAGTCTTTTGACTACATGAAAAAGATAAATCTATCCTAAACCTAAGCATGCCATACACAGATTATTTTTTTAATATTCAAAACCAGAATCAAAGCCAATTCAAAGGAGAACTTTAAAAAGATAATTCAAGCAAGAACAGAATGGGTAAAAATTGTACCATTCACCTAAAGTGATTATTCCGAAGATAAACGCATACTGAGATACACGAGGCCTGGTGTGTTTGCTACAAAATCAGTGTCATTAGCAGATACGTAGGAATATATTTTCACACCTCATATACTTCCGAATTCAAATCATAAGAGTACCTGCTTCAATTAATGAAAGGCAGATTACAGAGGGACAGAGGAGCGCCAGGAGAATTATATTAGAACAACAAAGCTATTAGTAACACTTAGCACAGAAGCACTGGAGTGTTTTAAGTAACAAGCACCGTTTACTTTTCTAGTCCATGTTCTAAAGGCAAAATGAAACCTTTAAGTACATTTGAATACTTTAATACCAGAAGGGGTTTAGGGAAAATAAGAACCAAGATCTCCTCTAATATTTAATCATCTTCTTTGAATGTCTCTCCAATGTTTTGTTTTGTTTTTAAAGCCTGTATTCATTGTATCGGGAAAATTATTTGTAAGAACCTAAGTAGCCTTTGGCCAATGAGCTATTCACTGAAATGAGAACAACTGACCCTAACTCAGTGAATTATATTATTTGACATTCCAACTCATTCAAGTATCCCCATCTTTAAAAATAATATATATCTAGAGTATGTTTCTGTCTGCTAAAGCTTACACCCTGATTCACTTCCTTCTAGACAAATATTAAGATGATCAATACTTTATTTTTCCCTGGACTCCTATTCACTGATATGCACAGTGCTCTATAAAAACATGCTTCATTTACCAGAAGAAAGAACCCCGCAGTGTATCTCAAGCCGGAAGGCATTGATATACAGAACTTCATTTGGAGACCCAGTTAATGGAAAGGATTCTGGGGCACACTGGTTTCTTATAGGTATTCACTGCTGAACAGCAGTTAGGGCTCAAAAGAAACAACAAGGGCATGTCAAGGGTAAAATAAGAACTAAAAGAGCGATCCTTTAACATTACAAATATACACGTTTGTATCTGTGTGTGTTGTGTGTAGATGGAGAACACCAAGTTAACAAAGGAAAACTAATTCTCTTTTTTAAAATCATATAGACTGTCTAGCTAATTACTCTACTGACAAGTTACATATCACCAAGTTTGAATTTGTAACTGGAGGAACTGAGGTAGAAGAGGACTTAGTTTTTAATCTAATTACTTCAAAAATAAATATTGCTCAGATTGGAGTTCACAGTTGACTCTGATAATGCATATACGGTGTTATATTATTAGACAAATGACATAAATTATAGAAATTAATTACTGCAGCTATTACTAAAGAAATATTTAATATTTGGAGACTTTCTTTGGCAACACTATACAGTTAAAATTGTATTGTAGTCTGCCACCTAAGATTTGATATGCTGTAGCCATGCATGTCTTTAATTGATCCTGCAGCTGTACATTCAGAGAATGGGGGATGGGAATAACTGAAAAAGAGAAATAACACAATCACCATTTTAAATCCATTCATACTTTCTGAACGCAGCTCAACGGAGAACTTCCTATAGCAAGTGAGCTGCATCCAGAAAGTATGGCAAATTCGTACCACATGCCCTAGGCCCGTGGTCAGCAAAACACGGCTCGCGAGCCGCTTTGGCCCCTTGAGTGTGGCTCTTCCACAAAATACCACGTGCAGGCGCACGTACAGTGCGATTGAAACTTTGTGGCCCATGCGCAGAAGTCGGTATTTTGTGGAAGAACCACCCTCAAGGGGCCAAAGAGCCGCATGTGGCTCGCGAGCCACGGTTTGCCGAGCCGCAGTTTGCTTACTACTACCTAGGGGACCACTTCGGTATGATATTAATGCTCAAAGATTACAATGCTGCCTTTTAAAGATACATAAAAACAACAAAGTAGTGGTTACCAGGTATGTGTGGTCATTAAATGAGGTCTGTATGATCATAACATGACAACATGAGGATCTTTGTGGGGATGACACTGTTTTACGTATTTAATAGGTAGGCAGTAAGGAGTGAGGGGTCCCGGACTGTGAGGGAGCACAGGCAGGGCTGAGGACTCCCCCCACCTCCCACCCGGCCACCACCAGTGCATAAATTTTGTGTGCCGGGCCTCTAGTTGTGTTAGAATTCATTACTGGTGAAAACTGGGTAAAGAGTACATGTTATATCTTTCTATTATTTCTGACAACTGTATGCTAATCTCAAATTGAAAAGTTGAGTTAAAAAATAATTCAGTCCATTACATTTTCTGGCAGAACTTCAATAAGGTAAAGTATTATATTCAAGTTACATACATTTCAAACTCTCCCTTTGTGTTCAATCTGAGTATTCTACAACAGGTCAGAGAATAATACTTGGAATAAAAGAAAAGATTTAAAAACTTATGGTATTAATTATAAGTCTGTGAATTTCTGCTTATGGTATAGAAGAGTTGAGTTTCTAACATGAATTCTCCCACAAATAACAGTTAAGAAATCTGAAAAAAAATATTTAATAAAAACTAACCAATATCTCTGAATTTGAACAAAGTAACCAGATTTAGAATGGAAATGATTTGAAATAAGTCAATTTTTGTTGTCAATTCTGCCATAGGCAGCTTAAACACTCCTGAAAATTCTTTTATTTTACTGGACAAAGGAAACAGGAGGAGTATGGGTGACTAGAGAGTAAGGAAAGGAGAAAGTCAGAGAAGAAAATCATATCTTTATATATGCATATATACATGTATGTATATATATACATATATACACATACACACATATATATATAGTGTGTGGCTATAGATGATATAGATATAGATAACCTTGATATAGATTATATAGATAGATAAGATAGAGATAGATACATAAATAAGATTCTGGCAAAACACTGGACTAAACATGCATAGGCCAACAGATTATAGCCCATAGAAAAGACAAAAATATGAATTAACATATGAGTATTTTAAAATTTACCAAAGTGTGCATTTGAGCCTAACCAAGTTAGTTGCCTAATAAAACTAAAACATTATAACGAAACACAGAATCTCTATAATACTCAAAAAGTTCAGCACCCAATCCAAAATTATTTACCATATTAAAGGTCCCAAAATAGCTATTTTCAAGGGAAAGATAATCAATACATTTCAACCTCAAGAAGATATAAATGTTGAAATTATCAGTCAATGATTCTAAATCAGCTATTAAAATTCTATTCAGGGAGGTAAACAAACATGTTCTCATAACAAATTTAAAAAAGAAATGTCAGCAAAGAATTGGAAATATAATAACTAGATTGAAATTAAAATACAATTTGTAACAAAAATGTATTCATTTTAATTTAGTTGTAGAATGAAGAGGAAAGAAATCTGTCAGTGTAAAGAAATCGATAATTAAAATAATCAAATTTGAGAAGAAGAAAAGATTTAAAATGAAGAACCGAACTTCAGGAACATGTGCGACAATTTCAAAAGAAATTATATATGAAAAATTGAAATATTAAAAGATGATGAAATAAAAAAATTGGAGAAAAATTATTTAAAGTAAAAAGGTCCCTCTTAAATATGGTAAAAATCAAAAAAAATAATAAATAAAAGTTTAAAGATTTCACAAGCTCAGCTACCACAGAGAGGTGCACAGCCTCAAACATAAGTTCAGTGAATTATGTATGTTATGTGTACACACATATGGGTAAATATAAAAGACACATTTTCTTTTAATATCTTTAATATTCACAGGACAAAAATACAGCATTACCTTTAAATATGTGCTGTAAATAAAGTTAAGTTCTAAAAATCTGTGACTTAAGTTTTCACCTTAGGTAGCTAGGGAAAAATAGAGAAAGCTAAGACATAGTAAGTAGGTAAATTAAATAAGGTAAAATAAATGAAAAATGTGATCTATCTTTACCTAAAAGAATTAAGGAAAATATATATAGTACAATAACCAATATTAGTAATTACATTTATAATATTAAATCCTGCAGACTTAAAAAGGTAAATTAGAGATTTTTAACACATTATGGCTATCCATCTGAGGAAAGGGGAAATAGCCAAACTAGTTAAAAGATGACAGCTAACAAAGTTTACTCAAAAAGAAAGACACCATAAAGAGTCTTAATTTATTACAGAAATTGAATTTCTAATTACACATATTTGCATACAAACAAACGCTTTAATGTGAATATTATCTCCATGAAATGAAACATTCAGATGGTGCAGCAGAGCTCAAGAGTTAAAGGAATATCTTTTGCTCTTTGTTGTTCTTTTGTTTTGTTTGATAAACATAAAATACTTTTTAATGACTATTGGTTAAGTCCACTTACAAAGGCAAGAAAACTATCACTTATTTTATGTCTCCCATATGCTCAACATTTTTATCTCTTTTAATCCTCATAGTAATCCTGTGACAAGTTTTGTTTTGCTTTTTAAGCTGCCATTTCACATACTCCATTAATAACAGGCAAAGTTGACTTGAAAGCCCATCCCTGTCATTGCTCACCTAATGTTCTTCCCACTACACATTCTGTCTTGGAGGAGAATGCCATAGCTTATCCACTGACCATTAAGAAAACCAGATATTGAAGGAAAAGAAGGCTCAGTGATCACAGTAATGGCTTCTCAGATGGCTAACACTATAATCACTGATAAAAAGAGGGACATTTATACATTACTAGGGGCCCGGTGCACGAAATTCGTGCGCTGTGTGTGTGTGTGTGTGTGTGGGTGTGTGTGTGTGTTGGGGGGAGTGTCCCTCAGCCCAGCCTGCCCCCTCTCACATACTGGGAGCCCTCAGGCGTTGACCCCTATCATGCTCCAATCGCAGGATCGGCCCCTTGCCCAGGCCTGACGCCTCTGACAGAGGTGTCAGACCTGGGCAGGGGACCCTCATTTCCCCCCATCCCTGGTGCTGCCCCCACCCCAGGCCTGATGCCTCTGGCCCAGGCGTCAGGCCTGGGCAGGGGACCCCAGACCCCTCCAATTGCTGGTTCTGCCCCTTGCCCAGGCCTGATGTCTCGGCCAGAGGCGTCAACCCCCATCACCCTCCGATTGCCTGATCGGCCCCTTGCCCAGCCCGAGGTGTCAGGCTTGGACAGGGGAGCCCCATCTCCCCACGATCACTGGCTCTGACCCCCGCCCAGGCCTGAGGCCTCTGGCCCAGGAATCATGCCTGGGCAGTGGACCCCCATCTCCCTCTGACCTCTTGCTCCACCCCCCGCCCAAGCCTTACGCCTCTGACACAGGCTTCAGGCCTGGGCAAGGGGACCATCATATCCCCTCAATACCCGGCTCTGCCCCCAACCCAGGCCTGATGCCTCTAGCCCAGGCATCAGGCCTGGGTACGGGACGCCCAACCCCCCGCCCAGGCCTGATGCCTTGGCCAGAGGAGTTGACCCTCATCACCCTCCGATCACCAATCACCGTATCGGCCCCTTGACCAGGCCTGAGGCCTCTGGCAGAGGCGTCAGGCCTGGGCAGGGGACCCCCAGCTCCCCGCGATCTCCCGCTCTGCCCCTGCCCAGGCCTAACGCCTCTGGCTGAGCCATTAGGGGCTGAGCCTTGGGGCCGCCTTTGCCCTGCTCCCCAGCTCTTAGCTCCCCCCTGGGTTTCCGATCACTGTCAGTGGCAGGGGGCTTCTTCCTGCTTTCCCTTTAGCCTCCCTGCATTGTGACTACATATGCAAATTAACCACCATCTTTGTTGTCAGTTAACTGCCATCTGAGTTGGCAGTTAATTTGCATATCCCCCAGATTAGCCAATGAAAAGGGTAGCGTCATACGCCAATTAGTGTAGATGTTATTTTTGTTTTTCTAGTCTTCAATTTTAATTAAAGGAATCTTTGCTAGAGCTTTGAAGGAATAACCAGCAAAGTAGATTAGCCAATATATTAACAGGGAGAACACCTTCCCTGCCCCCCCTCCCCACCGCCACCAGCCAAGATATGCTTGTTAACAACATAGCTTGTAACAATGCTGAGACTCATAAAAGAGAATTGGTGAGCAATTCCATCAGATCACTTTTGAAGTCTCCATCAAGAGAAACAATTAAAAGGATTAACTTTTCCATCATACATTGTTGTTCTCTCAGTGGTTCACTCATATTTTTAGGTATAACACTGCTTATATATTGAGAAGTTGAAAATCTGTTATATTAGGATATTGAAGATACAGTCTGATGAAGAATAATTATTTTGGATTCACACCCAACAGTGTTTAAATTCCTGATCTTCAACTTATTAGATGTGTAACATCTGAAAAATTACCCCTGTAAATGTTAGTTTCCACAGTTATGCAATACATATGATAAACATATGAATGTATTTCATTAGGATGAGAAAATATTATTAGAAGTTGTAAATGAAATAAGTGTCCTGTTTCTAAACATTGTGAGGAGAGGTTCAAATATATTCTTAGTATCAAGAAGCTCAGAAACTTACTATAAATCCCTCTGTAGACCATCCTTACCTCCTCCTGAGTGATAGATTGAAAAAACATTCTCTCCCAAAGAAAGAAAATATTAAATGTGAGACAGCAAGACACCTGTCCATAGAAGATATTATCACCTTTCAACTTCATTTTTGGCATGGCAAGATAAAGGAACAGGATATGCTTGAGGGGAACAAAATTCTTTTAGAAGCCTCTATTTTTAAAAAGACAGGTCAGCATAAATGAATTTTTTATGAGTTGAATAATGATTTCCTTTAGACCTTCTTCTGAGAGGTGTCTGAAGGAAATTAGGACTGCATCTTTTCTTCTTGTTAGATTAGTCATGTGAAGAAAACAAAATGTGGGCCTCTTTTAGAGTATAATTTTCTCTCCTTTTTTTTCCCCCCTCTGAACTTCTTTTTTAACTGACAGCTCGATAATGGAAATGATTTTATAATTGTAAATGATTTTTTAAAAAACCCAAATGTCTTTAAAAACAGGCCAGCACTTGTGAAATGGTGTCTCACCTGAACTATTCCCAGACTGGCTCTGTCATTCTGCCTTAGTATAAAATTCCCTAACCTGCAAGTCCATTACTATAGAGGACTGTTGTATGGCTATATGTGTCACTAGTAAAATCCTCCAACTAGCTACAGTATGAGAAAGAACACATGATTTTACTCAGGGTCCTTTGTCCCTCCTCATGTTGGACCAGCTTACTAAAGAAGCCATACTTTTTGCTTGTGTATGTGATTTTTCTCCCTTAGGCTGCCTTGAAGGGCTAACACAGGGGTGGGCAAACTTTTTGACTCGAGGGCCACAATGGGTTCTTAAACTGGACCGGAGGGCCAGAACAAAAGCATGGATGGAGTGTTTGTGTGAACTGATACATGTTAACACTGCTGCTGGTGAAGGAGCAGAAGGGAGAGCAAGAGAAGCCTTCGCTCTTTCTACTCCCCGGGCTGGATAGAACAGCCTAACGGGCCGGATCTGGCCCGCGGGCTGTAGTTTGCCCATGGCTGGTAACATCTAACCAATCCACCAACAAGCACTGCGCTTCCAGGTCAAACTACAGACAAGAGCATATGGATTGGTTTCCTCTAACATTTAAAACATAACAACCACCAGCATGGCAGACAGCAAGGAGAATGGGAGAAAAGTGAATATAAAAACAGAGGTGATGGGGAGTTTCCGTTAACACCAAGAACAAGCAGAAGCCACAGTCTCAGAAGAGACTTGGGGCAGAGATGGGAGCTACCTTTCTGCAGAGACCTGAAGGGGCTACAGATTAGGAACCATCAAGGACAGAGGGTAGGTTAAGAACGTGGGACAGACACCTGCAGCCATTTCTCTCAGGGAGTGTCCACTGGCATACCTGTCTACTCATACATGCAGTTTACTTCCTGGCAAAATTACTTTCTCTGCCTTTGGAATTGGAGGGGGGGACTGCAGAAATCAGAAAATTTGGGGGGTGCTGATACTCCACAAAGGTCTTCTCTAGGTTTCTGCACAGAGTATGAGGGTGCCTGATTATTGGCCATTAATTGATTCATTCTTTCTCCAAATATCTGTCCAGGTAGTCTTCTTAGGTCAGCGGTTCTCAACCTGTGGGTCACGACCCCTTTGGGGGTCGAACCACCCTTTCACAGGGGTCGCCTAAGACCATTGGAAAACACATATATAATTACATATTGTTTTTGTGATTAATCACTATGCTTTAATTATGTTCAATTTGTAACAATGAAAATACATCCTGCATATCAGATATTTACATTATGATTCATAACAGTAGCAAAATTACAGTTATGAAGTAGCAACGAGAATAATTTTATGGTTGGGGATCACCACAACATGAGGAACTGTATTAAAGGGTCGCGGCATTAGGAAGGTTGAGAACCACGGTCTTAGGTAATGGGGATGTGGAAGTGAATTGAACAGATAAAGTGTATGTTGCGTAGGTGGGTAAGTAGTGGGGAGGAAATAAAGCAGGGCTGGAGGAAGAGGAAGTGTGTGTCTGTGTTTGGGGGGGTGGGGGGAAGAAGGGGAAGTGTTATAACCAGCGGAAGCACCTCACAAGTAGTATAGCCCTGCAGAGCAGTTCTCTATTCAGAAGCAAGGTCTATTTTAGAAACAGAATTATATAACAGGAAATATTCACACTAGCTATCTATCTCTTTAAAAATAAAAGAATACAGAAAATCACTAGAAATTTGAAACACAAAAATAGAGAATCCATATAAATAAAATAACTGAAAGAAAGTGTGATAATTTAGAGGAGAGGGTGGGCTGTTTAAAAGTCTTATTATTAGCCGAAACCGTTTGGCTCAGTGGATAGAGCGTCGGCCTGCGGACTGAAAGGTCCCTGGTTCGATTCTGGTCAAGGGCATGTACCTGGGTTGCTGGCACGTCCCCAGTAGGGGATGTGCAGGAGGCAGCTGATCGATGTTTCTCTCTCATCGATGTTTCTAACTCTCTATCTCTCTCCCTTCCTCTCT